TACACATTGTCCTAGATGGGATGTGGAGGAGAAGTAGGATAGTAGTAGAACTAGTTGCCGCACTGGATGTGGCGTCGCCGTTATAGATACGGTATGGCGATAGTTAAGGCACGTAGAGAATGTACGCGAAGGTCATGGTGTGGGGGTAGGGGGGCGTCGACGCTGAGACGGTAAGCTAGGGGTGCCTAGGCCCAAACAGTATAACGTGGTTGACATCCCCTCGCAGAAGTCCTTACGGAACTGGGCGCAGCCAAATGACATGCTTCAGTTTCGTCCGCAGGCATTGTCGAACACTCGCTGTCTAGTGAACAGTGACTAGAAGTTCTTGAGTCGCTGTATCTGGCCTGCAGTTGGCAGATCTTGCTGCTGATACTATGCGATCCTATATGAAGCCGGCTATGAGTACGACTACTCAGCAGTAGCCGTGCAGATAGTGTATTTGCGGTATCTAAATGTTTTTAGGGCACTACATGCTGTGTATTGCGCTAGGGAGTTTCATGGTCAAACTAGGCATAGGTTTTGCTGGGCAGAGCAACAGCAACTAGATGATCGTGTGGGCCTATAACATAGTCGAGCTAAGTGCGCATATCTAGGCAAACTACCAGCTAGACATAGTTTCGCTAGGAACTAAAGGCATCTAGGCGCAAACTCGCATAGCAGAGCATATAAGGATGCTACTAGCGGATGCAGCCTGCGTCTATAGTGCTGTGTATTAAATGCGTCGTAGTGGCAAAGAATAACGTCTCATAACTGACACCAGAGTACAAACGGTTAGGACGAAGGCCTATAATAGACATTCACACCAAAGCTCGAGATGCTTGAGCTACCATCGTTTAGTTCCTTAATTCGCTCTTTTCTCGAAACTTTTCATCTGCATATAGTGTGTAAGAATGCTGGCGATATTTTTTAGGGTGACTTTGAAACACATATGCTTCCTTGGCCCAAAGAACATACACGGAGCAATGGTCACTGAGCTGTAGGTAATTTGACTCATACAGACCAGTGCTTTCTAAGGCACACCCAGCCCGTGGTAACCAGGCAGTATATATGGAAGGTGGATGAAAGGGAGTGTTGTGGTGCTATGGTCTGGCAATAGCGGAGCTCATGGTAGTTGAATACGTGGCAGAGGCGAATCACCAACCCTGTGCAAGACGCGTCAGCGCGAAAAGATGTGTTAGGTTTGATTCACCTCCCACCCCAACCCCCCCCCCCCACCCACCAGCGGCAGAGCAGCGTGCGTGGCGCCGGGCCGCTTCGCGGACCTGGCCCTAACTGTGTGCGGAGACAGGAAGAAAAGAGTTGAAAAATTCCTATGAAGAGTTATGAAGAACAGTCATGTCCTACATATATAGTACCCTATGTAGGTTCGCTCATTAATTTTATAGCTTTGAACTGGAACTATACGTGGACAGTGGAGTATGGGTGTACTGTTGGATAAAGAGAAGCCTAGACATACATAGTACCAACACAATGTACTAACGGATGAACCACGCCCCTCTTAAAGGGAATGTGGCAGTGTATAAGGGCTAAATTTAGAAATGCACCAAACAATGCAATTAAGTTCCGTTTTTAGTAACATTTCTAAATTTAGCCCTTATATACTGCCACATTCCCTTTAAGTTTTGTTGTGTATGTGCCAATTGTGTGGTGTTGACAAAATACCGTTAATTCAACAATTTGACTATAATTATATTCTACCGAAAATCCCTCCAGGCACCTCGATTGGGGACAACACACACTCCGCCCACTATGGGACTCCACCCGGGCGGAGCTCCCGCGATGCCCAGCCCACATGTACCGCCCGTCAACAGCCAGGCCACACCCACTCAGATAGGCACAGGAAAACTCACCGTCAAAGGAAAATTCGATTTCAGATCCGTAAGCTCACTTACCTATACCTACATAGTCTCGTACCCGGCCGCTGCACCCACAAGGGGAGATGAGCGTCTCGTAAATTTTGATGCAAAACCTGGTAAATGGTTTCATGTAGATCTGCAGCCGTAGCCATGTGATCTGTAACCTGGGGAGAAAGAGAGGAAGAAGAAGGAGAGAGGGAGGAGGGAGAGAGGGAGAGGGAGGGAGGAGAACCATTAAACAAGGCTTCAGACTGCAGCTTTGTCAAATGAAATAACGGGAGAAGTATGGTAGGAAGAATAAAGAAGGAGAAAGAAAAACACAGGGCACTGGAGGAGGGAGGAGGTTTAAAACAGAGATGGGAGAGGGAGGAGAGAGGGAGTGAGCTGAGGAGGATTGGTCTCATACCCAGCCGCTCCACCCACAAGAGGAGAAGGAGCGTCTGGTAGCTTTTGGCGCAAAATCTAGTCCTAATGACGTCATATCCGTTGTATCCGAACCGCTCGTCTAGTATGTGATGCATACGTTGCCCCGCCTACCAAAGTCCACGGACTAAGGATGCACATGACAATCTGTAATCTGATTGGAGATCTCATTTTAAAGATGAGGACCAAGAAATGTGTTTCCCGCGTGATGAGTGGGTGAGGTCTGAGCATGGGACTAATGCGCGTGATGTTGGTCAGCCGTTCTGCAATCTGATTGGTTTCGAGATCTATGACCATGCAAGAAATGTGTCAATAGTTACCAGACCCCTTCCCCCATGTGATGAGTGGGTGGGGTCTGGGTACAAGACTACAGATCAGAAACAACTCTTACTTTTGGCCCTCAACTGTCTTGGCTGGAGGCAATCTGATATAGGCCACACCCATAAGCACCTCCCTCTGCCACATGCCGTGATTTTGAACGAATGCAATGTGCGATAGGTGCTGCCACGCCCATTTTTGCATTTAAATGACTGAAGGGTTTCGAGTAATCTGATTGTAGATCTCGTTTTCGAGGACTGAGAAATGTGTGGATAGTTACCAGACCCCACGAGCAAGAAACGAAGGCCTCGCTGTCCACGTGTTACACAATTCAGAAATTTACTAGTGGAAATGTTGAACATTGTTGGCGAGCGGGAGCGACCCAACTTGGGATTTGCCCGCGATGTTCGGGCTGCATAACGTGCTGCAGTGCACAGCTTTCCTTTTGTGAAGCAAGACAGATGTACCTGTCGCATGCGTATTGTACATTGGCAGAACGTTGAGCAGGTGAGCAGAACGGTACTTACCTTATGCTTTCAAGTCGTGGTCAACCAGGCAGCTGGCATGCAGCAGTATCAGCACGAGCAATGCTAGCTTATTTGCAAGTTGCACCTTCGAAACAGGGAAGAGGTACAGCCTCGGTCAGTCACCGAAGGTTGCAGAGCATGCCGTCGAATGGAGGAGAGTTCTCTCGCTGGCTAGATGGATCGGCGCATATCACGAGGCAGCCTGTGTGAAATCCGAAATGATTAAAAGAAGCACGTAACACACAACGTACAGACGGACGATAAATATATCTAGAAAAATCCGCTCCAACGAACGACTATTATCTATATACTGTCTCTTTGCGAATTAAGTCATCTCATAGGTCAGGATACTTTTTTGGCCATCACTCTCACAAATTCCGGATGCCAGACTAATCAGGACATTCTTAACTTAATTTAAATAACCGCCTCAAATCAACGAGAAATTTTTGAAATTTATGCACACGAAATCCATTTGATGGAATTTGCTGATTATACAGACATTCGATGGAATATAGCAATGATCATTAATCCTGATACAAATGCAAGTAGTGGGGTAATGTTAAAGTGGGAGCGAGCTAACACAGTTATTATAACAACCAACCCGACTGTTTTACCTCCACTCAACTGCCACCCATAGTCTAATGAAAAGCACTAAAGTGCAAACCCTCGGCGCACTAGAAACACGCGCATGTAATACTCCATAATTATGCGCGTGTAGGTCGGAACCGGTAATTGATGGAGTGGGCTACACTATCGTGGTCTCTCGCTAGATCTTGTAGAGAGGGGGGCAGTGGTTAGCTAGACTAGTAGATGGCAGTTTAGGCAGACAGAATGCAAACAGGCAGTATGCCAGTTTAATTGGTAACCGGTGTTGTTGTGCACAACCACTTTGTCCCTACTGCCTAATACACCTACGAACGAACAACAGTTGTTCTCATTATTTTATCTGCTGATGTGCTACGTGTGCATGTCAATGTGTGGGCAGAGTGGGTTGCCGAATTGTACTTGTGCCACATATTTTGAATTCCACTCGCCCCGTTGCCAGGACGACCCGGAGGACCTTCACTTCAGGAAGGGGGACGTGATGTGGGTGTTGCGCAAGGACGAGGACGAGTGGTGGTTTGCACGGCACAGTGATGGTAGAGAGGGATCTATACCAGTTCCTTATGTAACAGTGGTGAGTTTGGGGAAATTGGGGGGGAGGAGGGAGGGAGGGAGGGAGGGAGGAAATAGGGAGGGAGAGAGGAGGAGATAGGTAGGGGGAGGGAGAGAGGGAGGGAGGGAGGAGAGAGAGTGATGGTAGTATATACTCCATAAAAGGAAGAAAAAACCTCTCATACTTTGAGGTCCCAAACGTTCACTTTTCTATAATTTTTTTAACATCTGAAGATAGGGCCACCTCCCTAAAAGACAATCATTGCCTTGTCCCAACTTGTTCACTATATAGTCAGCGTGAGTTTGGGTGAGTGTGGAAATGAGGAGGGGAGACAAGGTAAACCAGTATGTCCACTTCAGGAGGAGCAGAATCCACAGGTTTTTTCTGCAGCTGTAGTTGCATGTTGGCATCAAATCAGTATTGTAGGGGTCTAGGGGGCAGTTTGCGATAGGAAGGAGGGGAACATGATGCAGCATGTTAATAGTAATACTCTTCTGGCAGGTGGATGATCAGATTCAACAGCAGTCATTTTTTGCCAGAGCTACAATGGACAGAGAATGTCCATATGACCCCACGGCACTCTCCTTTAAAGTGAGCCTCTCCCTCTCCTCTTCCTTCCCTCCTCTCCCTCTCCTCTTCCTTTCCCCCTCTCCCCCTCCTCTTCCTCTCCCTTCCTCTCCTCTTCCTTTCCCCCTCTCCCCCTCCTCTTCCTCTCCTCTTCCTTTCCCCCCTCTACTCGTCCATCTCCTATCCCTCCTTCCCTCTCCTGCTGTCCTTTCCCCCTCTCCCCCTCCTCTTCCTCTCCTCTTCCTTTCCCCCTCTCCCTCTACTCTTCCTTTCCTCTTCCTTTCCCCCTCTCCCCCTCCTCTTCCTCTCCTCTTCCTTTCCCCCTCTCCCCCGCCTCTTCCTCCTCCAAATACCAATACCGATGCGTAAAATTGAACTACAGTGGAACCTCCGAACAAGGGACACTATGGGGCAAAAGATTTTGTCCCTTGTGGAGAAGTCGTCCCTATCTCAGAGGTCGAATAATACACTCATGGGTTTGAAACAAGTGTCCTTTGTAGAGAGGTCATCCCTATCTCGGAGGTCGAATAATACACTCATGGGTTTGAAACAAGTGTCCTTTGTAGAGAGGTCGTCCCTATCCCGGAGGTCAAATAATACACTAAAGTATAAGCATGGAGTTAACACAAGTGTCCCTTGTAGAGAGGTCGTCCCTATCTCAGAGGGTCCCTTATCAGAGGTTCCACTGTACTCGCCAAAAATGCATCAATGTGTACTGAGCACTGGGAAATGTTGCATTGACCATGACTGAGATAGACAACAGAGGAGACGGAAAGTGTTCCTGGGAACTACAAACAGTTGTGGGTCCAGACCATCACTCACTCACCAGTGTTTACATACACAGAGTGTTTCCTGGTGCTGCTTTTAACTCTTTATGGCCTTTATGCTGCTTTTAACTCTTTTTGGCCTTTATGCTGCTTTTAACTCTTTATGGCCATTATGCTGCTTTTAACTCTTTATGGCCCAATGCTGCTTCTAACTCTTTATGGCCTTTATGCTGCTTCTAACTCTTTATGGCCTTTATGCTGCTTTTAACTCTTTATGGCCATTATGCTGCTTTTAACTCTTTATGGCCCTATGCTGCTTCTAACTCTTTATGGCCATTATGCTGCTTTTAACTCTTTATGGCCCTATGCTGCTTCTAACTCTTTATGGCCTTTATGCTGCTTTTAACTCTTTATGGCCTTTATGCTGCTTTTAACTCTTTATGGCCTTTATGCTGCTTTTAACTCTTTATGGCCTTTATGAGATGCTAACTTCATATGTACATAAGATGTTTGCAGATGTACAGTGGAACCTCCAAACAAGGGACACTATGGGACCAACAATTTTGTCCCTTGTAGAGAGGTCGTCCCTATCTCGGAGGTCAATTAATATGCTAAAGTATTAGCATGGGATTGAAGCAAGTGTCCTTTGTAGAGAGGTCATCCCTTATCGGAGGTTCCACTGTATACATTATAGTAAACAAAATGCTTACTTCATACATATGTAAGATATTTCGCTGACTTAATAATTATTACTTTTGGAACCAGAGAGGTTAGATAGAAAAATATGAAGAACTCAGGTTTTGCAAACAGCTTAGTTCCGTACACTAATCTAGTGCTGCAAAAAATGCTGATTCCCTTAGACTATCCATCATCTAGGATTCTCCCTCATTTTTCACTTCCGTCCCTTCTACCTACACACCTCTACCCCTATCTCATTCTCCACTTTCTTCACTTCTCTCTCTCTTCTCTCCCTCCCTCCCTCTCTCTCTCTCCTGCAGGCTGGGGACATGATAAAAGTCACAAGGCAAAACGAGAACGGAATGTGGGAAGGAGAAATAAACAACAGAAGAGGACATTTTCCCTTCAAACTCGTTGAAGTTGTAGATAGTGCTAATCATCAGTGACCTTTGACCCCAGACCCCGCCCACTTTGAGGCCCGAGTTCAATACAGTTCATACATGTACTTTGTCATTTTTGCACCTCAGCCACCCTCTCTCTTGTTCTGTACATACACATACACAAGTATTGCACACCACACCTTTTTTATGAGTGAGCAGCCTACACCGTAACAATAGCCGTTTGCTTTTCGCTAACTGTTGTATATATGTACTGCAATCACGTGTGCCATATTTTTTGTGAAGTGTATATATTATCTATTGTACCGTACTGACGTGTAATATACAGTGATAATAGTTGGTGAAATTGGGGCGTAGATACACTATAATAGTTATGTGTATATAGTATGCAGTTGAGTGTGTGCATGACGATCGAGGGAGGAGAAGGGGATAGACATCCTCTTGTCCCATTGTTAATGTGTGCGAATTGAAAAAGGAAAAAGATGAGAGAGGTAGAGGTATATAACATGAGCTAAAATTATTCCTCTGTTGTAAATTGAAACGGGGAGGAGGGAGGGCCAAGAACGACGTTTGGACGTCTTTCAAGTCACTCTGCAGTTTCCTCTTGTTCAGGACGGGATCAAAATCCTCCGCTGGCCCTCTGCATCTCTTTTGCCTTGCTGCAGTGATCCTTGTACCAGGCGGCAAACTCGTACCAGTCCTCTCGGCTTGAAAACTCAAACTCTGTGTTCAGCCCATCCGGCTGTACTGACCTCATTCGAGCGATCATTTTTGCCCGTTCCAGGTCTAGTCTGTCGGGGTTTTGAACTGCAACAAGCCTCACATACCTGCATAACACAGTATATAGCTGCATATCCAGTATAGAACTTCTTATACTACAATGGAACCTCCAAACAAGGGACACTATGGAAAAGGGGATAGGCATCATTTTGGACCTTTTAGAGAGGTCGTCCCTATCTCGGAGGTCGAATACTACACTAAAGTATTAGCATGGGGTTAAAACAAGTGTGCTTTGTAGAGAGGCCGTCCCTATCTCGGAGGGTCCCTTACTGGAGGTTCCTCTGTGGTTAATTAATGTAAGAGGAATGTGTTGAGCTGCTAATAAGGCACGAGGTGTGGCCAAGTACACATCGATACGCATTCAGATTATTTATACATATTATCCAGTAGTGTACTGTGGGTGCATTACCTGGTTTAGTGTGAAATAATCTGAGGTTTTGGCGGGCTACTTTTCATGGTACTGACTATATAGTACATTGTGACTTGTAAACCCTGGTGGTACATTGCGACTTGTAAACTGACTAGTACATTGTGATTTGTAAACTGACTAGTACATTGTGGCTTGTAAACCCACCAAAGTTTACAAGTCACAATGTACTAGTCAGTTTACAAGTCACAATGTACTAGTCAGTAGTCAGTACCACCAGGGTTTACAAGTCACAATGTACTAGTCAGTAGTCAGTACCACCAGGGTTTACAAGTCACAATGTACTAGTCAGTACCACCAGTCACAATGTACTAGTCAGTAGTCAGTACCATCAGGGTTTACAAGTCACAATGTACTAGTCAGTACCACCAGTCACAATGTACTAGTCAGTAGTCAGTACCACCAGGGTTTACAAGTCACAATGTACTAGTCAGTACCACCAGTCACAATGTACTAGTCAGTACCACCAGTCACAATGTACTAGTCAGTAGTCAGTACCACCAGGGTTAAGTCACAATGTACTATATAGTCAGTATATACCACCACGTACTGTGACTTGTAAACTCACTAGTGTGTGTGTGTGCGCGCGCGCTCATCTCCTCCAACGCATGCGCGCGTGTGTGTATTGTGTGTGTGTACATCTCCGTGGGTCATGTGTATTGTATATATGTATTATTGTGTGTGTGTGTGTGTGTGTGTGTGTGGTGGAGAACCCACCACTGATCCGAGTCAGGACTGTGGTACTTGAGCTGCAGTTCCACGGGGTTCAACTTGCTGTCCGGTCGCTCAAACAGTCGGTGGAACATCTGGATCAATCCTGAGTACACCCACGACAAACAGGAGAAATAAAAATGCAGTAGTGGAGGTGCACCTTTGGCTATGTAATTAAGGAGCCTAGGAAATTTTATAATCAATCCTTCACAATACGGAAAGTAAAGTCAGAAGGGTACTACAGTGCTAACCACTAGGAGAGGTGTATGTGTATAAATATATGACAGTGAGAGAGTATACTGTGCCATAGCATAGTGATTTATTTTGAGGTTTGCCTTTGCTGCCTTGGGTTTTATTGTAGATTCGAACCCCTACCTGCTCAGTTGCCCCGGTAGCTCAGTTGGTAGAGAACTCGCCTAGACTGCAGAGTGCCGTGGGTTTGAATCCCCACCCAGGGCAGCTCTGAGAAAAATTTACTCTCGTCGTGTTGCCTTTGCCTTGAGACTTCGAGGTGCTATAGCACTGAGTGACTGGCCATGTGATACGTGCAGTTCTAGCTTCCTCTCACATATATAGGCTTGCTACCACAGTAATATGAAATTTCAACATTTTATCGTTTGTGTTATTGGCGAGCGAAGCGACCCTCTACTGTAATCTGAATGCAGGATTTACGGTGGACGAAGTACACATACTGTTAAATTGTACATGATTCTAAATACGCACGTATGTAAATAGGCTCGAAATATTAAACTGCTCACTGTGCTTTGCGTTGGTTAAGGAGTTTTTTGTCCCTCTCTCCGCACATAATTATTGCATAAAACGATAGGCAGAGAGACTAAGTATAATATACCTCACTGTATATACCAATGGTGGATCTAGGATTCTGGAAGGGGGGTTCCGCTGTCCAGAACGTTTTCGACTGCGCTCGTGCGTGCGCACGAGGCTGGCGATGCACGCGCGCAAAACGACAAAAAGGGGGGTTCCACGTAACCCAAAGAACCCCCCTGGATCCTCCACTGTATATATACATGCCAATTAAGGGTTGCCTTTTGCTCCCAAAACATACCCCCACATTTTCCTAACACACATTAAAAAGGTTGTGTACACAAACAGCTTTTATGCAAACGGAGGCATTTTGCATAACACCACATCACAGACACTTATCTATACAGTGGAACCTCTGAACACTATGGGCCAACGATTTTGTCTCTTGTAGAGAGGTCGTCCTTATCTCGGAGGTCAAATAATACACTAAGTATTAGCATGGGGTTGAAACAAGTGTCCCTTGTAGAGAGGTCGTCCTTATCTCGGAGGTCAAATAATACACTAGAGTATTAGCATGGGGTTCAAACAAGTGTCCTTTGTAGAGAGGTCGTCCTTATCTCAGAGGGTCCCTTATCGGAGGTTCCACTGTATAGGTGGCACCAATTAGGGTGCAAACCTTTGTAGACGTTGTGGCTTTTCCCCACATATTGGAGGTTGGCTCTGAACCTATGTTTGAAGAGGTAGACTCCAGTGGTCATAGTCAGAAAGACTGGGATCTGGATTACTGCCTTGCGACACAGAACCGCCTCTACTGACGGCTGGAACCAGCCCGATTTGCTTATGAACTCCTGAATGGTGTTGTATTTACCTGGAGAGAGAGAGGGGAATGGAGGGAGGAGGAGAGAGGGAGAGGAGAGAGACAGGGGATGGGAGGAGAGGGAGGGGGAGGGAGGAGAGGGAGGGAGGAGAGGGAGGGAGGGAGAGGAGAGCGAAGAAGAGAGAGTGAAAAACCCAAATTATTCACCTGTCGCCACTTATATTTTGTGAATGTGAAGCAGTGTAGTGCATTACCTTTAGGACCTACAGCGGGACTGAGAGGTAGGGCTGACGCACCAGCAGACCCTGGCAAGAATGCCTGCAACACAACACAACACAACACTTTTCACCACACTAACAGACACAATATAGTCTGTCACACAGGAGGCATTGGAAATGTGGAAACAAAGGGAGTTATTGTGGGCGGATGCAGTGGCGGATCCAGGGGGGTTCCTTGGGTACCATGGAACCCCCCTCTTTGTCGTTTTGTGTGCATGCGTCGGCGGCCTCATGTGTGCGCACCTACGAGCGCAGTCGAAAACGTTCTGGACAGCGGAACCCCCCTTTCAGAATCCTAGATCCGCCACTGGGATGGCATAAGCCAAATGAGGCAGAAAGGTGGTGTAATTATACCCACTTTCACTTGGTCGCCAGAATAACATCTTTTGTTAAACGGGAACAAGCTGGGAGAAAGTCGAATACACTTGTTATTGTGACGACTACAAGTTGGTTCGCTCACATTCATTCGTTATTACCAACCGTACAGCTTCCTGCTTCATTCATGCAAAACGTACCATCTGACAACCCTGGATTGTGTGTCTGACTCATACATTATGGTGGGCCAGCATCATTTTCATATCAAACGCACAATTTACACAATTCTCAAGCAGCACTGGTACATATTATCGCTTGTTCTACCATTGTGTCTCTGACAGAAGAACAGACACCTTTCTGATCTCCACACTAGAAATCACATACGGTAGTGCAATATACCACCAAAGAAAAGGTGTGTCTGTCAGTAACGGAATGCCTCACACCCCAACGCTCATCATGGCTTGAAGTGCCACATCACCTCTTCACTAACCTTGTTGACAAACCAAGCGGCACACTGCTTACGTAAGCGTGGGTATAGCTTAATAGTTTGTTTTGCCTCGAAAACTGCATTGCTGTTTATACATGCAAAGATGCATACATACATACATGTTCCTGTCCGTATGTCAACACACAATAGCCATGGACGTGTATAAATAGATGGTATATATATACCTCAAGGGGTAGGGGTGCAGGGGGTCTGTTGTCAATATTAATTGGGGGCCCCTGTGGTATTTGCTCGCTAGCGAGGGGCAAAACATTTGGCGTAAGGGGTTTCTTGTATGAGGGTGTCTTTTTGGGTGCGGCTTTGCTTGTCATGTGCCGCGACGAGGGGCCATTTGATTGCTGGGGAACTAATTTCTTGGCCCCCGGTTTCGGCTGAAGTGGAGGAGGAGCGAGTTTTTTCCCCCGGGGTTGCGGCTTTGGTGATGGGGGGAGGGGTACGGGGGGCTTGCCGTTAGTCCTAAACCCCGGGGTAAGGCCCCCGGGGGTAACCCTGGCACTCCGGGGGATGTTCTGTCTACCTCCTGCGGGCTGTCGGAATGGCATGGGTGGGGCATGTCGCGGTGGGATGACAGGGGGTGTGGTGTCATTGGTGGGCGGCGTCGACGATGATGTCATTGGTGGAGGAGAGGGTAGGCGGGGTTTGGGCGGAGTGATAGGGTGTGAACTATCGAGTCCCTCTGCTGATGATGTGCGGTGAACATGGGGATGTACTGAAGACCTGTGCATAATAGCAGAGAGTGACATATGCCTTGTCAAATCTCATATTATTTGTTGTCTCAACAATGTAATATAATGCTAGGGTGAAAACCACTTTCGCTGAATTTGCAATTGTACACAGAAGCTTTATACCATGTTACTGAAAGCTTTGAGGAAATGGCATTTATCCTACCAGTCTGCTCAGCGAGACCATATTATGGTGTGAATAATCGAAGCAGACCCATGTTATATATTATACCAAAAGCATTGAGGACTGGAGCTCTAGAGAGCACATACCCCTGCGGTATTGTGTATTAGCACGCGTTCTATGTGACGGGTGTGGCCAAATGATCCCCAATGTTTGTAGCTGCATTTCTAGCCATTGTGTTCAGTGTCGTTGATTCCAAGCACAGAGACACCAGCTTTTTGCCGTTTATGATTGTCTAGCCGCTCTTTAAACTCACTCAGGCGCCTATAACTCAAGATCTGGCGATTTTAGTGCGCCCGGCGACGGACATACAGACTGAAAACGACCCCTTGCGTGCATCACGCGCTGGGCATTTAACCTACAAGACTCTGCATAGAACACATACTATTGGTGTAAATTGCTGTATTTGTAAGAGCGAATCAGACCTTGAAATAGTTTGAGGAGAAAGTCTCCTCTGTCTCTGGTCTGGAGTGACAGACACGAGGTGGCCAGTGGAGGAGGAGGTGTAGGAGGAGGAGGGAGATGGGGGGAGAGGGGGAGGTGGCTTAGACCAAACCTTGGTACCGTCAACCTTTGTAACATAGAGCCATTGTCATACACACTCCACTCTCTATCTTCCCTCTAAACCCATACACCTTTAAGGAGGAACCTGACCACATTATAATCAAACATGCTAGCTATTACAGAGTTCTTCCCTTTCCCCTTTCCCTTTCTTCTTCCCTTTCTTCTTCCCTTATCTTATAGTTCTTCCTTTCCCCCTTCCACCTTCTTATGGTCAAGATAACTTTGATGCTGAGATAAATCATTTGTTGTATTACAGATCTCAGAGTGTCGTGGGTTCGAATCCCACCCAGGGCAGCTCTTCCTTTTTCCTTGGAAAAATAGGTGTAGGTGAGTTGTTTGTTGTGCTTTTTTTGCCTTTCTACCTCGTAGTTGACACACGGAATATACCCGTCAAAGTTGCCGATACTGTCTCGATAAACAGTTCCATCGTGTATCTAGGCCATTACAAACCTTGACGAAGTTGATGGGAATGACTCCTCTCTTCCCGTGGGCGTCCTCTGCCAGGTACCAGAAGATGACGTTGCAAGGCTCCAGGATGGTCAGTCGGTCTCCACGGGAGAACGGGAGGTCGTGAGGATGCTGGGCTGTGTGTGAGGGGGAAGAGATCATCACATGACTGTCACATGATATGAGAGCAGAGCCACATCACATAAATTCATGCTAAAGGGGCACAAAGTTTCCAATGGGGTTGTGCAGGAAGATTGTAGTACTGTTATAACTGTAGGTGTATGGTAGATTGTACTATATATAGTTCTATTTACTGGGAACTTTCAAAGCATAAACCCACCTTTTGTTGGCAAAGGAGAGACAACTCTCACAGATTGCGTGTCCAGCAATACAAACACCTCCACCCACAAAATGCCACTGAGCAAACTTCGTCTAAACCACAAAGTATCCCACTATCATTCCACTGATCCATGCAAATTATTTCACTGAAAAATGGCACAATCAACTGGTGAGAGTTACAGAAAGGAAACGCTAATGCACAAGGAAGCAGTTATCACTCCCACAGTCCTGTGTCTGCCTCTTGGGGAATTTAGTGCAAGATCATAACTATCTTCTACCAGTAAACAACACCCCAACTGGGACTGCACAAAGTCTATGAGGTGTATATCCCACGAGATTTGTAACCGTGCCATATTGGGGACGGGTTGATTCAACAACTATGCTACGTCCGAGCTGTAGCTAGCTAGCTAGCTAGCTACAACTGAGACTAGCTAGACAGAGTGAAACGCAGGGTTGATTGAACAATGCAACGAAGACAAAAAGTCAGACACTGTAAACTGCGTATGATCGCAAATATTCAACACAGGTAGCCACAGCCATAAGCTAGACCAAGTGATTTTTCAGTAAGCCACACGCAGAGCAACAGCTCCCTCCAGGCCGACCAAAATGGCTCACGTTGAAAATCCTGGATAGCAGTGACCTTGGTGTAGGGAGGTAGAGGTCTAGCCTGCTCATCATCCTGTCTCCCTGTGTTGTTCCAGCTCATCATAGTCCCGTCCGAAAGCACAAGTCCACAGCAACGAAGAACTAGCAGTCCAGTCAGTCTACGTCCTGACCCGATTACATATGCGCATGCGCCTACCGTCTTCCTAATGTGTTACGTAAGAGTAGGCGAATCTCATATTTGATTGGTCGATGGGGAGTGACTCTCACGTGAGTTGCGCCTTTTTCAAATATTCGGCGGCGCTGGAGAGTGGGCATCTTTTCGACGAGGAATATCAGTAGAGAGAAAGTGGAGGATTTCTTGCAGAGAGAAGAGCAGTCAAGGGAGCAGTTGGTGAGTTTCACTCTCCCTTGAGCTCTAGTAGCTAGCGATTCGCGTCTGGCTGTAGTGTGCCCGCGTAGCTAGGGAGGTGCAAACATGGGCGGTACACACCATGTTCGCGCGGGTCGTAACTCGCTCCCTGGTGCGACGACTTTGGCTCCCGCCCCTGCTCATGGGGCGGCAAGGCCCGTGTAGGTTTACCACTGTAAGTGGGTGAACCCCTGTGGGTAAAGTTGACTGGTGTTGGAGTAGGTTGCTATACTCAAAGTCTACCCGTTTTTCATTTCACCAGTTGAGGCCCAACTTTTTGGTATTTTACCTTATGTTCCCCCTATATTTTATATCTCCTACAAATCAGCAGTTGTATATAGTATAATATTATGCTTTCTCATAATGATTCACGGCCTGTGCAAAACCCGTGTTGTGATCTCTGTAAAGAACCACATTTCCAAACATGCTTTCACCTCCCTCCCCCCCTCTCTCCCTTCTTTTCTTCCGGCACTTCAACCTTCCCCCTATCTTACTCCTACCTTCCATCTTTCACTCCAACCTTTCTTCTTTCCCCCTATCTCGCTCCAACCTTTCTTCTCTCTCCCTGTATCACAGCAGTAGCCATGTCATCCAAGCACACGGCGACGATCACAGAGCTGAAGGTGGCCTTCAACGAGGCAACCAACAAGACCTACCGCAAGGGGAAGTTTCTAGGAAAGGTTCGTAAATCAAAGGAAAAAGTTTCTTGCATTGTCTGTCTGACCTCATATGGAACGTGTAGCGTTTAGAAAAGTAGTAAGGGTGTGGTATTGTTGGGTCACTATCGGTTTTTGGTTTAATCACAGAAGCTTGAATGGTTGTATGTTGTACTGATTAAAAAGCTGTTCTGAGGGCTAATAGTATCTGGTGTATATACTTTGGTTGTGCAAGAGGGTTGATGGTTATGGTGAACTGCATGTTTTCTATTAGAGGGGTATACGGTATACCCGGTGCTCTATTGTCCTTGTATCACCAACAGGGAGGGTTCGCCCACTGCTACGAACTGATAGACTCAGACACTGGGACCGTCTATGCCGGGAAGATTGTCCCCAAAGCCAGCCTCACCAAGCCACACCAGAGGGACAAGGTGACCTGTCTAGACTCTCTCCTCCTCCCCCTTTTGCCGGGAGGGCGGCCATTTCCACCTTTTGTTCTTCTTTTCTTCTTCCTTCTCAACTTATCCTCAACTTCTTTTTCTTCTTCTTTTTCCTCCTCTATTTTTCTCTGCATCTCTTTATGCTGCCTTTCACACTTGCTTCTTCCACCTCTCTACCAACCAACTACTATAATTATGTTCATGGGTTCCATGTATGTGTAAGAGTTTAGGTGAAGGTTGTGTATATACATGTGTCCTGCTCGGTCTGGTGTCGCGCGAGAATATCGGCAGCTACACTTGGAAGTTGATTATGGCGAAATGCACACTTTATAGGCAAGATACCGGATATGGGAATGCAATAATGAAAAATCACGAATATCAACCAGTCTGAGTCATTGTGATAGTCATTATTACACATACTACATGGACGCAGGACCTTGCCCCTCCTCTTTTTTCACGAATACTTCAACTCATTTTGCCCTCCTTTGGATCAACTTCTAAACTAGAACGGATGCGATGTATTTTTGGCGAGCGAAACAATTTTCCGCGCGTATTTAGAATCAAGTAAACGCTACGGCATGTGCAGTGCCCATTGTAAGTCACAGAATGGAAAATCCTACATTTAGACGACTAGGCGGTCTTCCTTCACTCGCCAATGAGGACCTGATTTTGTACATATGTACATTGTATGCATGTTGTCCACTGTAGATGGCTATGGAGATAGACATCCACCAGACTCTCAGTCATGCCCATGTGGTGGGCTTCCACGGGTTCTTCGAGGACAAGAACCACGTCTACATCCTCCTTGAGCTCTGCAGACGAAGGTTAGTGCAGAGAGAGAGGGGGGAGGAAGGGGAGGGAGGGGGGACTACGGTGGAACCTCTGAATAATGGACACCATGTTAGAATTAACCAGGCATTTTGTCCTTTAATAGAGAGGTTGTCCTCTCTTTGGAGGTATATAGAAAAGTCAACGTTCACGACCTGAAAGTGTGTCCTTTACTAAGCTATTGCGTCCATTATTGGAGGTTTTAATATATGTATGTATACCATATAACTGGTCTCCAGGTCGATGATGGAGCTCCACAAGAGACGAAAGGCTCTCACGGAGCCGGAAGTGAGGTATTTCCTCAGACAGACTCTCCTGGCTCTCCACTACCTTCACACTGACAAGGTTAGTCAGCCGCTCCTCCACCTCTTCCGGGTCGCGGGCTGGTGTGGGGGGTGTGTGTATATACGTGTCAGTTTGAATGTGGGTTGCTGTTCTCTCTCTGTAATGTCACTCTCTTTTTTGGAACTCCTTCTGTCCGTGGAGAATTGTAGGAATACGCCAGAGGGGAAAGAGAAAGAACCATTATCTCTTGCTAGGAGTCAAACTCAGGCGTCTTAACTAGAAGTACAACATGGTAGTATACTTACATACATAGAGGGAAATGTGGAAGACAGCTTTGGTTTGGGAGGAGTTGTAGCTCAGTGCCTGGTGCACTGGACTTCCAGTCACGACACTTGATGTCAGCTCCTGAGATGAGTTGCAGGTTATTTCTATTTCCCTTCTCTCTGTGTTTTCATCTACAGAGTCAGCTAAGAATTTCCCTCGCCACTAACATACGTACGCCTCCCTCTCTCCCCCCCCCCCTCCCTCCCTGCAGAAGGTAATTCACAGGGACATCAAACTCGGGAACCTTTTTCTCAATGACGACTTGGACGTGAAGCTGGGTGACTTTGGTCTGGCCACTCGCGTGGAGACTGAGGGAGAGAGAAAGAGGTGCCACAATACACATAAGATAGAACGGGACAGCATTTTGTTGCTCTATGTTAGGCTCTATTGTATCATAGAGCAGAGCATTATCGAGGAAGAAAACATTCGTGGTTTTTGTGTCCAAAAGTATGTATTTCGTTCGACGTGTACAGGACGCTGTGTGGTACTCCAAACTACATAGCTCCAGAGGTGTTGGGGAAGAAAGGTCACAGCTACGAGGTCGACATTTGGTCTGTTGGATGCGTCATGTGAGTATATATATCTCCCAATTCTGTGTTAACGTGTGTGTGTGTGGGGGAGGGAGGGGGGGGGGATGTGTTTTTGGGTAATGTGTGGGAAATAATTATTATGTTTTTGAGATTTGGCTCTGTGTGAGAGGGATGCTCTGAATTTATCGCCTATTGTATTTTATTTTTTTAAGTAAAGTAAAAACCTCGCGAATTTTAAAAGAGGACCAATTCTTATACATACACATACATACAGTACTACTGTTAGGCTAGGTTCACTATACATTGCATTGCCCTGTCGCGTTGTGCCGCGAAGGATTTTATCCTCGCAACACGGCAATGGAACACGGCACGGCAGGGCAATGTGACATATCGTGATTTTACATAGTCATTTCTAAGAGTGAGAGTGGTTGTTGTCTACATAACCAATAATGATATTCTAGCATGTATCTAACAATAGTCAGTTCAGTCCGTGGTGCCTGTGGTAAAGTAGCACGGAGAGACACCATATTTGAGATGATATTAGGTGTTGCACTATGTTGCACCAGGCTCTACGAGAACTCCCAGGCAAGTGTGAAATACCAGTGGTTGTAAATGAAGTTCTTGTGTTTCCCGCTACGTTCTGCATCGTGCAGAATCCACAGCGAAGAATGCATCCTGCTCATGCAGGGTGCCAGGGCATGCAGCTCTTTTTCTTAAAAGTCCTGGTGTCGCTTGCTTTGCTTATTATGATTTACTAGCACCTTTTGCACATACTTTTTGTTTTGCAGTTTACTTAGCTAGTATAGTATGGGGAGGGAGGCTAGTATAGTTTGGGGAGGGAGGATGGGAGAATTGTACCAGACTGCTAAGGCGGCCATTGCAACTAATGCCACGTTGTCCCAGGAGTCACTCTAGTTGTGGCAAACCTCTTTCAGAGGGGGTTCCAATTTCTCCCCCTGCCCCCCATAAAAATGAACCCCAACTACATGCAGGCTCTGTCATTATGTCCCGACTGCAGGTACACTCTTCTGGTTGGGAAACCGCCGTTTGAGACCCAGAGTCTAAAGGACACCTACCAGAAGATCAAGAGAAACGAGTACCGCATCCCGTCTTACGTCGGACGTGACGCTCGCTCCCTCATCACACGGCTACTCCAATCGGAGCCCACCAACCGGCCGTCCCCTGGTGATATTCTGGAAGACCCGTTTATCACCGGTGGTTACCTGCCCGCCAAACTGCCAAACAGGTTGGGGAAGAGGGATACAGTGGAACCTCTCTAATCCGGACACCAGTGGGACAGAAGAAAGTGTCCATATTAGTGATAGGTTAAATTACACATGTGGCCCTATATTATATGCAAGAATAAGAATATCAATGAACAAACTCTCTCTCTCTCTCTCTGTGCCATGTTGTATTGCAGCTGCCTCACGACGGCTCCTCACTGGAAGAAGACGGCAGTGGTCGCTGGAGGAGGAGGCGGGGTGGCAGGGAGCGGCGGCTCAGCGAGGAGACCGCTGAGTCATGTCAACTCTGGAAGTGGTGGTGTGGGACACACAGCTGGGGTCAAGGAAGGAGCCACCCCCTCACCCATGGACGACTGTACGTGTGTATGAGAAATTCTCTCTCTATCTCTCTCTCTATCTCTCTATCTCTCTTGTTCGGGCTGGTCATTAAATGTTAATTGCGAAATTCGTTTCTTGTGATACTTCTTAACCAACAGTTCACCCTGCTTCCTTCCCCTTTCTCTCTCCCATCTCTCTCCCTCCACAGCACCCTCTGACTGGCACCTGCACTCTCTGCTAGCCCAGCTCACTGCCTGTCTTGATTCCAAACCACCTGACCGACCCTCAGACCAGATCTGTACGTGACCCACACACAACTCATCGATGATTGACGATTCTTCCGTTTCATGTTTTAACAGCAGCTTTGTTGGCCAATGCGCATGCTGAGTGTTCAAGTGTACTGGGAAAAGCCTGGGTCTAGCAGCATTGTACATAATGTATAGTACATAATGTATGTAGCAGCATTGTACATAATGTATAGATCGAGTGCTGTATATTATACAGTTATGTGGTGATAGGTTTTCTGTACATGCAATTTTTCTCTCTTCTTTCCTCGCCTCCTCCCCCCGTGTCCCATGCATACAGTACACACATACACACACACACACTTTACTCTCGTTTTATTTCTCCTCCCCCTAAACCCCCTTTTCACCCAGTGTCCCAGGAGTGTGAAGACCCTGCCAGCCAGCCAATATTCTGGGTCGGTAAATGGGTGGACTACAGCGACAAGTACGGTCTCGGCTACCAGCTGTCTGACTCCAGTGTCGGCGTCCTCTTCAACGACTCCACCAGACTTCTCCTTGGAGCTGATTTCGAGTCAGTCACCATCCTTACATGGCCTCTCACACCCCCTCCCCCCCTCTCACACACCTCCCCCTCTCCACACACACACACACATCCCATCATCGCCACCATCCATACATATGCGTCACACACTCCCATACCCCCTCCCCCCTCTCACACACCTCCCCTCTCCACACACACACATTCAGAGTAAAACCATCCCTATAGCTGTGACAACCTAAAATAGGACTTAGAAAAACAGACAAACTGAACTATAGCACGACAAACCGAAGGCCTACGAAGACAAACTGACAGTATATAGTGCCTACATACAGACTCTGTTACGAGGGAGTGGTCCCGCCCCAGTGGTAGTGAGACACAGGTCGGGGGATTAAAGGGACCGAAACCTGTGACCTACACGATGATCTGCCTAGGAGCTCCCCTGATGACTGGTGCACGACAGACAAAACAAGACAGAGGGAGACAGGGTTCTCTGGTTGTTACGTAGGTTTGTGGATGGGTGGTGGGACTGCCGTGTACAGGCATTCAAAAAGCCAATGCATGTGACCACGGACAAAAGCCTCTCAATCTCTAGCACTCTTTTTCTTCTCTTCCCCCATGCAAACACACACACACTCACTCACTGTCCTAAGGATGCACAAGGTTATCGAGTTAGTCAGCAAATCTTACAAGTGGAGATAAGATGCTCAGAATAGTGATGCCTATAGCTCTCATGGCTGCTAATTCATCGTCTAACCATATTTAGACGAATACCAACATTTTTCCACGTGTTCCTTGGGTTCTATAGTTAGTCTGCTTGACCCCCAGAGCTAGTTAGTGGCATGAAGAGCACTTCATTGTCACACGCGAATTAGCAAGGTTTATGTATCTACGCGTTCATTGTATGTAAGCATTTGTAAGGACACTTACTTCACAAGAATACTATATATGTATGTAGTTCATACACTTTAACATTCCGTGCAACTGACTCATCGTCATGATGTGGGTCTAGTACAAATAGCTGTCAAGTGTTCACCTGTTACGTATACCTATGGCTGGTATGCTATGAACTATAATTTCATGCTTTGATGTTAGTACAATAACCTGTTAAAGCGTCCATGTTAGTAAGGTGTATTTTAAGGGGTTTGATTGATGCGATATAACTTTTCTTGGGGTGTCCTTAGCAGAGAGGTGTACGTATCCTTGTGCCCAATAAAAGTAAAAGTATTCCGCAGTAGTCTAAATACTACAGGCCACCTCCGACCAATGTATTCACTGATTTTTTTCCTTGCAGGTCACTTCAGTTCATCAACAGAGATCTGTCGGAAGAATTCTACACCTTGTCCTCCTACCCAGACGCCCTCTACAAGAAGGTCACTCTCCTCAAGTACTTCCAAAGCTACATGACAGAGCACCTTCTCAAGGCCGGCGGAGCTGCTGGTGAGCTCTCTCTCCCTCCCTCTTCTCTCTCTCTATCTCTCTCTCTCTCTCTCTCTCTCTCTCTCTCTCTCTCTCTCCTGTATTAATTAAGGTGCAGTTTTTGCCAGCTGACAACAATTATCCCTTCTTCCCTTCTTCCTTGCTCACTATTCACCAATACCCCCTCCCCTCCCTCCGTCATTATCCATCCTCCCTCCCTCACTCTCCTCCCCTTGACTACCGCAGGTGAGCGTCCTATTGATGAAGGTGTCCGTCTTCCTCACCTGAGGGCCTGGTTCAGGACTCGCAGTGCCATCGTACTCCATCTCTCTAATGGACTCCTGCAGGTAAACCAATATCCTCCCTCAAGAGGGAATTTCGCATCGGGGTATAATTACACATGTATTACAGTTGTTTGAGGTTTGCCTTTGTGTTGTAGATTTGAGCCCTACCTGCTGAGTTGCCGCCCTGGTAGTTCAGCTGGTAGAGCACTCACCTAGAGTGCAGAGTGTCGTGGGTTCGAATCCCACCTAGGGTTCCTTGGAGAAAAGAGTTATCCACTGCGTATTTCATTTACTATGCATGTGTGACGGTGTGTGATTCTCTTTGCCGTTTTTGGCATTACTGCTGATCCTGTACATGACTTATTAACCCCTCTCTCTCCCATCCAGATAAACTTCTTCAACGACCACACCAAGGTGATGATCTGCCCACTCATGTCGGCTCTCAGCTACATAGATGAGCACAAGACATTCACTACCTACAAACTCTCTCTCATCGAGAAACATGGCTGCAACAAGGAGCTCGCTACCAGGTTTGCTCCTACATCAGATATCACTTGTGTTTCATTGAGAGAGGCATACAGTGGAACCTCTGATAAGGGACCCTCTGAGATAAGGACGACCTCTCTACAAGGGACACTTGTTTCAACCCCATGCTAATACTTTATTTGACCTCTGAGATAGGGACGACCTCTCCACAAGGGACAAAATCGTTGGCCCCATAGTGTCCCTCGTTCGGAGGTTCCACTGTATTACATACCTTTCCTTAACGGTGCACTTTTTCTTTGCGATTTGTACACCAAACTATGCAGATTACGTGTTTTTATTGCCTCCCATAGAGCTGTCCTAAGTGTAGTTTCAGCCCCTGTAATATGAAATGTAGAACAATCATGTACGTAGTCAAGCAGATGAGAATTTCCTACCCTGTTTCACATAATCAAAAGCACGACTTGTTTGTTGTGCCTTTTCATTTCTATTATACCTCGTAGTTGACACCCTCACTAAAATTTTGGCTACCAGTAGTAAACCCTCCTTTTTGGACTTTAGCTAGGGAGCTAGGGTAATAATATGTAGCCCTAGTGGAATGACTTAGCATTTCGTGACTCTTATGTATGAAGTAACAGCCCTAAAAATTGGCACGGTATTTACCCATTTTGACCCATATCAAAATGCGCATTGGCCTCTTATCTTTTCTCCCTCCCTGACCCCCACTACAGGCTCCGCTATGCAAAGGCAATGACAGAGAGGCTGATATCAAGGCTGGACCAAGGGGTCACTACCCCTCTTCCACACCCCACCCCCACACCCTCTTCTAACCCTCCACTCTGCCCACCTCCAGCAACTTCATAGCCTCTAGCTAATCCCATAATTTCTTGGTCATTCTATTGTATTATATCGTAGACTCGTAACGAAATTGATGCACAACATACAGTACTTTATAAACTCTATACAACATACGGTAGTAAAATTGTATAATATTGTGTGTGAACAGAATGTTTTATGTTTTATGTCGGTGATTGGGGGCAGAGCAGCGCCGAATTGTATACTGCGCGTGCAGCGCGCGCGTTAGGTGTGCACAGCGACAAAACTTGTGCGAGCTCTTGACGCAGTCGTAGCAACAGCGCCTACAGACAGGCAGTGTGTTGTGCCAGGAGGTTCAACTACGTTGATCACGTGCTTCTCCGCTTGGCGCAACAAAGTTCCGTCTGCAAGTGCAAAACGGTGCATATCAGCACCCGTTAGTAGAAACTGCAGTAGCACTCTGTTGGAGTCGCTCTCCGCCGAAAGAAGAGATAAGAACAATAATGGCGTTGTACGTGGCTCTCTTTACGCTGCTGGTGACTGCGCAATTGATTTGCGGTAAGTTATTGTAGCCAGACGTACGTTATCCGCTGCGATTGACCCAGATTGCTCTTTTTTTAGGCATGCCCGGCGGTAAACCTGGAGGCGGTGGTAAACCTGGAGGCGGTGGTAAACCTGGAGGCGGCGGTAAACCTGGAGGTGGATTCGGTCCCCCAGGAGGACACGACGGATTCAACATTCCCAACTACGCCATACCGTACCTCACGGGACGCGGCGGTCGCAACGGGCGGGACGGAGATAAAGGGATAAAGGGAATCAAAGGAGAGAAAGGCGAAAAGGGCTACCCTGGACCTAAGAGCTCATACGTAGGAGACACCGGAGAGAAGGGCTACCAAGGATATGAAGGAGAACCGGTATGTTGTGTATCTGTAGGTCTAGTTTTTCATTATCATTATTATCCACATGCAGGGTTGGGTTGGTGACAATGGATACAAAGGAGAAATTGGTTTTAAAGGAATGAAGGGCGCCGAGGGTGAACTTTTGGCTGGCGGTGGATCTACATACATCAACTGGGGCAGCAACTCTTGCCCCTCTCCTGCCGAGCTCGTCTATGCAGGATACGCGGTGGCACCAACGTTTGACAACGCTGGTGGAGGTGCTCAGTACCTCTGCATTGACCTGGGTGATATCAACCCTGGAAATTTAGCGGTGGACAGTACAGCCACACCCATGAGTTCGGTGGTCGGTGTGCACTTTGAGACGTTTGCAGACCCTTCAGATTTCCAGTTCGGTGATATGAATCACGAGGAACCACTGGCCGCCTTTGATGGAATGATTGTGCGCTGCGCCGTGTGTCTGACGCACAACACAGACGTCATGGTGATCCCCAACAGCCAAACCTGCCCCCTGGGAGACATGGAGTACACTGGCTACCTAATGGCTGCACGCGACTACATCTACGTTCCAAACCTTGGAATCGATCAAACGCCTGTGTTTCAAAAGACTGATCCAACTAATCCGACACACTTTCGCACTGAGTACATCTGTGTCAACTTGAATCCAGAGCCGGCTGGTACAAGTGCTACAGCTATGTCTGAAGGGCTGTTAGCCCACACGCGCATCTTCTGCAGAGACCTCCTTGGCCTGTTTGACACCGGCTGTTCTCCGTTTATCGGTGCCAATACCTGTCCCACGAACTCTCACTGCGCCCTTGGTCCACTCGGCTGTGCGGTTTGCTCCATTCCTCCTCCTGGTCCTCTAACATGAAGAAAGAGACCTTTTTGATGTGTTGAAAGACTACAAAAACTTTTTAATTTTTTTTATGCATGCTGAGTATTATCATTAGCTATATACCGTAATCCAAATTATACGGGATATCACTCGGGGAGGCACTGCAGTGATTATAGTCATTATTATTATTATGTTGAACATGTAGCAACTGTATAAGTATACAGCATAATATCATTCATGAGCTACATAATAGTGAGCTTTAGAGCCGGACCCGACCCGACAAGGGACAGCCTGCGTTTCCGACAGCGCACGGCGGCCTGCATACTTCCTGGGAAGGAGTAGCGGGTGCATTACAAAACTTTTTAGTGCATGCTAGCTACTGTCAGTCGGGATATCGCTGGCTGCACAGAAGGCACCAATAAAATTTTGCTCTTTGTATTTTGACTGGAGAGCGCCACGATAGCTCTGCTATTAATTAGTGTATATAGCTATCATGCATAGTTCAGCAGAATTATTATATAAGCTACTCCACCTAGCAACTGCGTCATAGTGTTGGGGCGAAATTATTGGTACCAGCGCGTGCCCATCCTGCGTGCATGCTTTTGTCGCACCTAGGCAAGACTTAGGGCAACGAAAGTAACTTCAGGTGCATATACTGCACGTAGTGCTGCACGTTACTTTATCGTTTTTACCGTCTTCTAGGACCCGCACCCGCTCGAGAGATGTCGGGGCTTGCAGCGGTTGTGGCGCTGACGCTCATTTTCGCAGGTTAGTGCAGAAGTGGAACAAGTGTGGCTATTGTTTTTCTGCATCCCGCGCAGCTTGTGGTGTCCGGGCTGGTGGCGACTGGGGAGAATGGGACTGGGGAGCCAAGGCGGGACCGCTCGGCGACCCGGACTGGTGGGACGGCGGCGGAGATTACCCGCCGCACGGCGGCCCGGCGAAGGTGCCCACATGGCTGTGGTTCTTCCGCGAAGGAAAGGCGGGGCTGGACGGACGCGACGGGCGCATCGGCGACACGGGAGAGAAGGGCGACTGTGGCGAACAAGGCGAGAAGGGGGAGAAAGGCGAGAAGGGCGGAATGGGTGACTTGGGGGACGATGGTGACATGGGAGAAAAGGTGAATCTAGCTAACTACCATTATCATCACTATCTGTGCTGTGCCCTCCAATATTATGCTACGAATGCCCATGATATACAGTGCAGTGCCGGAATATTTTAGCCGGTCGATTTGGCCGACGGGAGCTTGCACTGTTTACAATTGAGCGCGGCACCCCGCAGCTCTAAAAAGAACGTCAGCGGTTCGCATCGTTGCATGATTTATGATTCGGTATGGCGTTTGTCTGCAGGGCTATGAAGGTGACTATGGCGACAAAGGGAACCAAGGAAGCGTAGGAGACGTCGGAGATGACGCCACGCCGATGAGTGGAATCGCAACAAAACTCTACACCAGATGGGGCAGAACTGGCTGTCCGACGGGCCTTGCAGCAACCTTAGTCTATTCCGGCCGAGCCGGCACCTCTTACCCAAACAACGCAGGGGCTGGCGCAAATATTGTGTGTCTCACAGACAATTTCGACACCGGAACCTACGACGATCTCGCTGATACTGCCTCTACCTCCTTCGGGACCATTGGCGGCATCGAATACCAGGTGTTCGGAAACGATCCGCTCCTCGCGCAGGTGGGATTAGGACATAACGTCCCTTGCGCTGTGTGCAGCGTGGTCACGGACGCCGTTTACGTGCAGCCGGGAGCCATTACGTGTCCGGCTGGGTGGACCGCGCAGTACAGCGGTTACGTTATGGCGCAGATCCAGGCGAGCAACAACGCACGGAGCGGCGAGAGCTACCGCTCGCACTACGTCTGCGTGGACGACATGGCGGAGAGCGTCGTCGGCGCTGCAGTGAATTTGGACCCCCTCCTCGGAGAAGCGTCACTGACTCACGTGAGCGTGGACTGCACGTCGACTCCGTTTGACATCGGAACGGAGGTGTTTGACTGCAGCAGTTCGGCGTACGGCTCGAATAAACAGATCTCGTGCGTCGTCTGCAGCAGAGTGGGGATTCCGGTGGTTTAAAAGAGTCTTTTACCACCGATGAACAGAATCCGGAATTATAATACTGTACAATCTGCTTTTACATAAAGCGCCATAATTGTGATCATTTCATATAGCACAACAAAGGGACATAGCTATAGCTAAACACCAAATTATAAAAAATTATAGCCCTACAGTGCTCCATGCAAAGAGACGCTGGAATTTTGGAATTGGGTATTGATGCTTGGTGATCAAGATCACATTCGAGGATGTTTGCTAAGACCGGTCTAATACAATGATGTTTGTAATACGGTATTGTCCAGTCTGCAGTCACTGGCGGGAGCGAGATAACCTAGGGGTCCGAACGGTGCTAGAGTAGCCTCGAACCCAGGCCTTCCCGTTATTCACCGCGTGGTATATATAATATAGTACGTGTGAGCATGCGCGGAATACCGGGGCCAGAAGTACGTTCCGGCGCGCGGCGGCGGCGTATTATGCAATCTTGCGCATGAGCATTCGCTTGCAGAACTGGCGCGTTATATTACAAGTGGAAAAATCTTTTCTTCAAAATGAAAGGGGGATATAGGGATGGCTTGAAGCACCAAAAGGAAGAAACAAGGGGTCATTATACAGCAAAGATGCACAAAGCTACATGACACCATCCCTATATCTTTGTCTCATATT